CGAGTACAACATTTTGTAAATGCCACTCCCATTTCAAAGCATACAATACATAAAATACAAAGCATACACTTATTCTTAGGAGCACATCTCCAGGCACATCTTCCCGTTCGCTGCAAGATCTAGCGTAATGCGTGAAAGGCACTGACTGACATCTGCCGCAAAAATGGAATTTGATTTCTTTCGTTTTATAGCTCAATAACAAAATGCCAATCTTTGAAGAAATGGAATACTGCGTTGAGATACACTTACTTCATCAAAATTGACCATCATCAAATGGGTAAAGCACATTTATTTAATAAATGTGGAAATATCCCCTAAAATATTTTACAATGTTTTGACTTTACTACAATGCTATGACCTTTTACATTCATTTTTACTCATAATATGGGATCTCAAAGTGAACAAAAAATGGTCGATCGAGGTACATGTATTTGCTGTTATTAAAAACACATCTCCAATAGAGGTGCAGAGACAAAAATATTTGTTTTAGAGGGATTTTGAGAATACCAAATGTGTCTATTCATCTGTTTTAACAGGTATGCATTTCGTTGTCTCACCTAAGGTATAATGCACAGGTAGTTTTGCCCATCACATAATCTGCTACAATGTCACCATATTCCCAGCTTACATTACGTATATGTTTCAGAATCGGGTTACCTTTCTGAAAATAAAAGACAGACACATTATCACTACATTGTTCTGACATGTATGCTTCTGTCACCTCCATATTTAATTTCCCAAATTAGTGTCCCTCTCAAGTAAATACATGTAGTCTAAAGACTTTCAAATTTATTCATAAAAAAAAACAAATTTATTCATAAAAAACTAGCTAGGGCTATTATTATATCGCTACTACTCCCTTGGCAGAATCTATTTAGCATAAGAGCATTATAGTACACCCTATAGCACCATTATATTTTATATCAATAGCCATATGCTGCATCAAATCTGATTGGGCGTCTGTTATACAGATCATGTATCTTATGTTTAAACACAAATCTCTTCATCATGAATGTTTACATTAAGTCTGCAAAACTGTTGTATTTGAATTACGATAAAAATGCTAGATCACCTTGTCTGAAAACAACACAGTGAACACATACAACATGATACCGTACCTGTTTGGTGTTGACAATAATACTGTTACTGCTAGAAGATTTAACAGTAGTTGTTGTAGAGGATTCACTCTGTCCTTTGAAATGTTTTGTTTCCTTTAAATCAGCAAATGCTTCAGAAAATGTCATTCCTTTTGTTTTTTTACTTGGTACCTCATCTTCCACTAAGTCCACTACAGTAACTGTTCGTTCAGAAGTCACTTTTGATCTGGGGATTTACCAAACTGTCTGCTCACAATACCAGATGTTTTTTCTGTTGCACTCATATCTTTCTTCTCTGCATCACTAGATCTGTATGCTGACCTAAACAATGGTTTTATCTAAAATGAAAATAATGATGATTCAAACAAAGATCTTTACATCCAAATATGGCAGTCATGCAGTCAGCCATATTGGATCACCTCACCAAACAAAACATGCGAATCGAGTGCATTGTCTTTTATGTATGCCAACATGGCAATGACAATAACGCTATTTATCCTGTGAAAACACAACTGATTTAAATTTTCAACACACTGTTATCACAGAAAAGCAAATATTCTTGAAATTGGCTGATTAGGAAGTAGCAGGGTAAAAACAAAATTAATTTAATATATAGTGTTGGCTAAAGCTTAGAAAGTTTTCTAATACTTTGGAATACTTTATTTTCGTTGGAATTAATTTTTGCTGAAAAGGCTTTTTGGGCGTTTTGTATGGAACTTATTTTCATTGATTTTTGATGAATTTAATGTGAAATATAGGAAAAAAAGTATATTCGCTGGATTTTATTTTCACGGAATCATCCATTCAGCGAAAATAAATTCCAAGCGAAAATAAAGTATTCTACAGTACTTTAACTGAGAGAACCCTAGTAAGCTGGGAAATAGCTTATTTTCACAAGGAGTATTGTCCTAACACTGATGCTCTATGGGACTTAATGCAAGTGTGATCTAAGACTCAACTGAGAGAATTTGAAGCTAGAATTTACCTCACCAAAATGGAATACATGCCAACCAGAGAACTGTGCATAGCATGCAATGTTTGTTAAGCATGTCAATACCAACTAGAGATGCATGCATGC